AAATTTGTATATACACATATATATTAATAAAGACACGAGGCATGACCTCACCTTAAAAAAAAAAAAAAAAAAAAAACTATACCAGGAACAGGAGTGAAGCGAAGTGTATGGATTAACAGTTAAAATCGTTTATCATTTATTGTATACATATTAGGGTTAATGGTGTAGTTTACTCCAATTCCGGAGTAAAACCCAACCCAAGTTGGAGTGGGTTTAAAATTATGTCTTTAAATTTGAAGCAACCTGGAGCAACCCGGAGCAAAGCATTGGAGTAAGTCTAATTTAGTGGTGTGAGTTGAAGATTGGGTCAACCCAAACCAACCCAACCCATTAACAACCTTAATACATATTGAAATGTATAACGATATGTAATGACAATAGTTTTAAAAATTTAATAGCACAAGATTTATTAATGTTCTGCATTCAACATTACCTCTATCTATTCTACGTTTCTGGTTTTAGCGCAAATACGTCGCACTGTTTCCTAATTTGATGTAACATTGGATCTAAAGATTACATTATCGTTATCATTTGGATGAATGTCAAAATCTTTGTTCATGCACAAATGAAATGGAAAGATAAATTGAATCTTTTGTATTATATTGCTTCAAGCCTTGAATAAATCTATTCGTATATCTGCTGTAATTCATGTATATGCCATAATTTATTATAAACTTTATTTATGCCATAATATATGCGTATGTAAAATATAAAGTAAATTTATTATTTAAATTATTCCATTTCTTTATTAAACATTTGAGCTATTAAACTTGGGTTATAAATATAATTTATTTATATTTAAATAAAAGCTATATTATGAACTAATTTATTATAGTACAATAAAATTTATAAAATTTTATTGAAAATTATATACTTAAAAGCTGAACTAGAACAAAGAGCGGATTTATATCTAAAATTTCACGGAAAATTGTTTTTATTAGAACCTCCAAAGTAGTTTTATTAATAAAGATTTATATAGTAAACCTCAATTTTATTTTATCACTCATTTAGACATTTAGTCAGTATTTATTTAGTCACTTTTTAGTCAAATTTAGAATTTTGACATTTCGACAAAAAATATGTATTTAGACACCTAATTGTCTAAATATTTGACTAAATAGGTATTCGACTAACAATAAACAAAGGCAGACTGCAAGAAAAAAAAAACGTCTTGTTACGCTTCTAATAAAGATTTATTCGTTCGAAAAGATTATTACTATAAAGGTAAAATTGTTGGATGTGAAAAGATGACTGGGAATGGAGATTTTAGTAAAAGTGCGGATTTCTCAAAATTTTCAAGTTTGTGGAATATTACCGTATTTGCGCAAAGTAACGCTCATATTTAGGTTTGTCTAATTTTTTTTTCTGAATATTTCGATATCTCGATATTTAGCATCAGTGTTACAGCTGCTCTCAGATTCTGTGATTAAAACATTCGGTTTCATCTTGTAAATCACCTAACTCACCGGAAATTACATTGCTTTCTCAGACTAAATGTTCAATGATAGCAATCTAGTTTCCGAAAAGTTAAGTGAATTTACAGGACGAAACCGAAAAGTTTCTGCATGCCAAACTTATACCACTAGCTTGTGAGATCTAAAAAAAAATCCTGCGCATCACGCGAGTTACTCGTCACTCGTCACTGGTGATTGATGAACTTAGAAAAATGAAAGTGTTGACTTTATTTGTTTAGAAAATGTGCTGCCAGATTCGTTGAATTTGTTGGAGAGGTGTTTATGAATTGTAGAAAAGATTAGGATTACTTTCAAGATGAACCAGGATACTTCATAGTTAATGACTATAGTTGATGTCAAAATTAATTTACAATCTTGCATTGCAATTAACAATATAAGTAAATATAGTGCAATACAATGCAATTTAGTAAGTTGGACGTTAACTAATGTATTAGTTGAAAACATCTCATAATTATGTTTCTTCCAAATTAATATCAAAATCTAGTAAATGACTACCAAAATTTAACCAACTTTAATATACACCACCAATCGTTTATAGATTCCAAAATCATGTGTAATGAGACTTAAACTTTTGTCTATAAAGCTGTCTTCTGCGTACTTTAAAAAGTTTTCCTCATGAAATTTTGCTTAACTATAACCTTCTTACTCTAACCCTAATTCTAACCTAACAGAGTGAAATTTTTATAACAAATTTTTACTTATTATAAAATACCTTTTTTTTATATCAGTGACGCTAGATTTATGCCAAGTTTTATTCGAAAATCTAACTGTAATATCCTGATAATATTCATTAGACACGACTTAAAATAATACTTTTTCTATCAAAAGACAATTTTACTATTTTTCTTTAACTTCCCTATCCTTTAGGTAGAAAATAGGTTTATTGTTTCTGACATTTATCTATATGTATTCAACTTGTGAAGTATTACAAATAAAACTGATAAAATTTAAATCCTAAAACTAATTTATTCAAAAAAAATTATTATACCATCATAGGATATAAAAAACTATGATATGTATAAATTTTATACTATATTATCAAATTTAAACAGTATACTTATTATAAACAAATATTAGATAGTATGTAATTTAAAAATATACTGATTTACTCAATTTATAATAATATCTTATGCATATTTCATTTCACTTTCTTCAAAACCAATGGTAGGAAACTTTTTTACAAAATCAATAACTTTATGTTTTAGCTCATTTATCACAGGTTCTGAAGAACCATCTTCTCCAACATATTCCTTAAAGTCCTTGAGTTTTGTTCCTAATAACAAGAATTGATTATTGTTGTGAATATAAACATTTTACAACTATCATAATGCAACAGATTCCCTTACCAGAAACTTTCTTGCAGATATCATTAGTTATTTGAACACCTTGATGAATAAATTCTGCGACTTGTTCAAAATCAGACTCTTTGAAACCACGTGTTGTCATAGCTGGTGTACCAACACGAAGTCCTCCTGGAATAAACGCGCTCTTATCACCAGGAACTGTATTCTTGTTTGCGGCAATATTTGCCAATTCAAGAATCCGTTCAACACGAGCACCATCAACACCCTATTTTTCATTTATATTATTATCAAACTAATGGTTTAAAAGTATGATAAATTAAACTATTTAGTGTGAGACCAACCTTGGATCTCAAATCCATAAGTATCATATTTGTATATATTTTTTTCTTCAAATAAAATTTTATTACTTTCTGACAAAGATTTCTTATTTGAGTTTGTCTCATGGTTACCAAACAGAT